ATTCCAAGAAGGATGGTTCAACTTAAGTCAAAATTTGCACTTAACATGTATTCAAAGATGCAAATGATATGTGGGATCTTAGGGGTAAAAATTAGGGTATTACAGCTGCCCCTATTTAAGTTTCTTCTATTATAAGATATGAAGATTGACATCTTTGTCCCTACTAGATAGAAGAGACATAAATACAGAAAACCCAATTTTTGTTCCTAAGAGACCATAAGATGATATGATTATGCTAATAGTTTGCAAACACAAGATCTTTGTGGAGAGAATACGCCACAGGAGACAGACTGTCGCTGGAGAGCAAAAGAAAAGAAAAGAGACTCCACAGGGGAAAACAAAAGAGTAAGGTTCCAATGAGGCAAAATTACCAAAAGAGGGATATCCTATTCTACTAAGGGAAAAGAGTCCAAACTCAACTGGGGAAGAGGTATCAATTGCCGGTCACTGGGGAAATAAAAAAGATACTCAACTACAAAATAAGATAGAGGGAAATTACCTTCTACTAGTCACTAGGTAGAAAAAAAGGTGATAAACCAAAAGGAAATATTACCGACTACCAGTCACTGGATAGAAAATAATGGTAACTGACCAAAAAGGAAGACGAATGTTACCTGCCACCAGTCACTAGATAGAAAATAAAGGCAACAAACTCAAAAGGTGAAGGAACATTACCCGCTACCAGTCACTGGGTAGAAAAATAAAGGCAATGAACTCACATGGAAAGATTATTGAATATCAGTCACTGGGTAGAAAATGACGGTAACTAACCAAAAAAGGGGAGACAAATTGTACCTGCTACCAATCACTAGGTAGAAAATAAAGGCAACAAGCTCAGAAGGAAGGATTACCTTTTAGCGGTTACTGGGTAAAAACAAGGATAACCAACCAAAAAAGATGAGAAATATTACCTGCTACCGGTCACTGGGTAAAGCAAAGGCAATATACTCAAAAGGTGAAGAAACATTATCAACTACTTGCCATTGGGTAGAAAATAAAGGCAATGAACTCACAAGGAAAGATTACCAACTACCAGCCACTGGGTAGAAAATGACGGTAACTGACCAAAAAGGAAGACGAATGTTACTTACTACCAGTCACCGGGTAGAAAATAAAGGCAACAAACTCAAAAGAGAGGAATAATACCTGCTACCAGTCACTGGGTAAGGTAAACAGAAATCAACTACCTATCACTAGGTAGGAGAAATATATTATCTGCTACCTGTCACTGGGCAGCTCAATAAAGGTAAAGACCTCGCGGAAAGAAATATCAACTACATGTTACTGGGTAGGAGAAGGATAATAAATATCAACTACCTGTCACTGGGTAGGAAGAGAAATATATTATCACCTACCTATCACTGGGCAGCTTAACAAAGGCATATATTACCTACTACCGGTTACTGGGTAGCTTAAAAGAAGGTCATAAACTCAGGAGGCCAAAGTTCAATCCAGGAACAAACTAGAAAGAAACGGTCAAACAAGACTTCACCCAATGAGGAAATATCTCAACTGGAGATTAATTCCATCCAGTTAATGAACCGGAAGGAAATCTAAAAAAAAGCATCTTCCATGAGGAATAAACTTAGTGGGGAATTAGAAAGGATAAACACTTTCTACTTATGGTCAACACTCTATTGGAGATAGGACGCACACGCTCTGCGGGGATAACAGTAGCAGAGAGCGGGGAAGCACTAATAAAATTCAAAAATGCAAAATGCAAAATGCAACAACAATATGTTATTCATAACAAATGAATGCGCATGCAATGAATATGCTGACAAAACAGACATAAAGATAAATAAAAGATGAACAAACATCATAACATAACTGAATACTCGGCTAACCTCAATAACATGGAGATATCACTAAAGATCCTGCTAGAGATAAATAAAAAGGCATCAAAGGAAAATAAATCCTACTATAAGGCCCAAATATCGCTGGGGAGAAAAAGATACTGCTTTGAAGAAACCCAAAGATCAATCTTCTAGCATCAATAATCCACAAAGGGGATAACAATATGAACTCTGCTTCAAAGGGATGGAGAGATTTATTACGAAAAATAATGGGTCCGCTGGGGATTGTAACCGTATAAACAATTATACAAACTCCACTAGGGAAAAAAGTGGATCTCCTAGAGATATAAGTAAAGCTCTATGAGAACTAGCCATCTCTAAGAAAAGCATCCTGGACTTGCCGTGGAAAATAAGAAATTAACATCATAGAAAAAAAAAGTCAAATTATGGGGGATTTTAAATTAATACTCAACACCAAGTGAGAGAAAAACCGACAAGTGACTGCAATATCAACACTTCTTAGAAGGTAACAACATTGCTCTCTGCTTGGGAAACTTTTAAAGTAATAACATCAAAACTAGAGGACAAGATTCTATATGGGGATTCCACGTCAAAGAGAGGTGGAACTTAAAACTGCTCAACTACCTGATTATGACCTGGTTGGAGAAAAGAAACATACTCAGCTGGAAAAGATCTGAATTGAGACTTAGACAGAACACCCAAATAGTACTTGTCTGGGGAAAACCCAAATTGGCGTTCAATTAGGGAATATTATATTTCATGAGTCTAACACAACATAACAATCAGAAGGGAATCCACTAACAACCGTAGGGGACGGAAAGATGAATTTTCCAATAATCAACTTTCTAGATACAAAATTCAGCTTGACTTCACTAGGGAAGAAAATGGATCTGATGAGGATCATATCCTATCTTTCAAAACCAGTAGTGATAAATGCACAACCTCCGCAGGGGATCAGCAAGGATAATTCTCTAGGTACTAACAATCTTGAGAGAAACGACTTGGAATCGTGAGAATAATTAAGAAGTTAACATCATAGCAGAAAGTCAATTTACAGGGGATTTTAAAACTCAACACAGGGTGAGAGAAAACCCAACAGTTGACTGCTATATCAACACTTCTTAGAAAGAAAATATGATTCAGATTAGCCATAAGAGCAACAAACCATAATAGAGGAGGCAAAAACATGTCGGGGATTCCTCACAAAGCGAGATGGGATCCAACAGTCACATTCACAATTATATATGCTTGATCATACACAGGCTGGGGGAAACAAGAAACTATGCTCGGATGAGGAAATTTGAATCAAGACTTAGCAGGGGCGTCCAAGTTTGAGATGCTCTAACTAATGCTTAGCTAAGAAACGAATCAATAAGATCAAATTCTGCTAGAGAAATTATCAACAGACTCTACTAGGGAGAACATCAACAAGGACAAACTCTGATTGGGATAATATCAAGCTCTGTTGTGTTATATTATCCGTATAATAATTAACTTTCGCCCCAAACTACATAGTATACAAGAAATTTTCCTCAAGAAACTTTGTACCATAAGGACCTAAGATAATCTGCCCCGGTGTCTTCAAACTCTGAGAGATTCATCGAATCTCGACGTAACTGTCCCATATTGGCTGAACTTGGCACATTCTTTAATAAATGAAGTATTCCCCACATAGCTCTTTCATCATCCTATTGTTCAAGTTGGACTCATTATCAGTAATGATTTTGCTTGGCACACCATATCTGTAAATGAGTTGATTCTTGATAAACTTAACAACCACGTGTTTGGTAAGATTAGCATAGGAAGTGACTTCGGCCCATTTGGTGAAATAATCGATTGCTACCAAGATAAAAAATGTCCATTAGTCGCTTTCGGTTCTATCATACCAATCATATCAATGCCCCACCTGGAAAACGGCCAGGCAGACGAGATAACATTAAGTAGAGTTAGAGGCACATGAATTTTATCCGCATAGATTTGACACTTGTGACATTTCTTAGCAAATTTGCACTACGCCAAAATTGGTTTTTTGTATCGCCTACTTTAATAGCGCTTTTTAAATAAGCGCTATTAAAAAGGAAACAAACATATTTATAATAGCGCTTTATAGTAAAGCGCTATTAAAGAGTACAGAGAATATCATTTTGATAGCACTTTGTAAAAAAGCGCTATTATAGATATTCACTAAGATAGCGCTTTTCTAAAAAGCGCTATTAAAATGTTGTATTACAATAGCACTTTTATAAAAGCGCTATTATTAAAAGCACTACGATAGCACTTTTTAAAAATCGCTATTAAAATATATAACTACAATAGCGCTTTCTATGGAACCGCTATCGTTTCTATAATTGTGTTTTAAGATAGTGCTTTTCTAAAAAGCGCTATTAAAATATTCCACTAAATTAAATTAATTAAAATATGAAAACCTTTCCTGGCCCAAATGTTTTTCGTTTTCGCGCAAAATTCTTTCACCCACGCAAAAAAGCACATCTTCACCGCTTCTTCATCGATTCACAACCATCGATTCACAGCCATCTTCTTCACTTCACTGGAATAAAAAGACGAACCCTAAGACAGCTCACCACCGTCATCCTTCTCCGTCGATCTCAGCCGCCGTCATCAGCTTACCACCGTCATCCTTCTCCGTCGAAAGGAGCCGCCGTCATCAGCTCACCACCGTCACCCTTTTCTTCATTGATATCCGGTAATCTTTCTTTTCTCAGATTATTGCTTTGTGTTAAATTGTAAAATTAGGGATTTGAATGCTTTGTGTTGTAAATTGTAAAATTAGGGATTTGAATTTGATTTTCATTTTCTTGAAGAACTGTTGGCATTTCATGAAATATGATATTTTAGCTTTTATGAGGGATTTTCATAGTTTTTCTCGCTTACCCAAGGCTGTAACGTCTTCTTTTTTAACTCACATCCCTAAGGTTTCAAACCCTTTAAGCTTAGGTGATTATAGGCCGATTTTTTTGGTGGGGAGCCTTTATAAAATTGTTGCAAAATTATTGGAAGCAAGATTGAAAAGAGTGATTGGTAGTCTTGTTTCTCAATGTCAATCTACTTTCATCCCCGGAAGACAACTGTTGGATGGTGTTGTTGTTGCTAACGAAGTTATAGATAAGGCTACTAGAGATAACATTCCTGTTCCAACTCCCTTCACAAGTGTCTCCCCCTTGCTTATGACATACTGTTTATCCATGTTCTCTGTGAAGGATTTGACTGCCAAACCCTCCCAACAAAAGCATATACTGTTTTTATTTGTGATATGGTCTGTCATAATATCAGTATTAGAGTTTGTTATAATCAGCTATGTGACAATAGATTAGACTAAAAGTATCACTGATATTGAACACTTGGATTGTGTATATGTATAAAATGCACAATTTGTCATGTTGTAAATCATAGTATTGCACCATGCATGGATCGATGTCGTATACCTGTTCTATCATAGACGTGGCTTCAGAATGGTAAAATAATTTCGTAGTCGAGATTCTGTTCATTTTCTTAGTGTAACTTGCTCCAATTATGAGAATAAGAGGGACAACCACTAAACACATAAGTGCTACTTCCCAACAGGATATTGCGGCAATCACAATCCCGGCAAAGAAAGTTGCGCAGCTAGAGGTAAAGTGACCCAACTGTGATCAAGAAATTCACTTGCTTGGTTCAGTCATAAAAAGAAAGATTAAACTTGTTACAATTATTTATTTGCTTACCTTTTCACCAATTGCATCTTGTATAACACTCATGTGCTTGCTTATTCCAGTGATGACTTTTCCACTTGTTAATTCTGTATCAAAAGCTCCTATCTCTTGGCTTAGAACTGCTTTTAGATATGCTAATCTTAGGCGTGATAACTGTCTTTCACTTGCATACATCCAACAACCAATCTCTGCATAAATTTTCATCTGGTGAATTGTAGAATTGATAATTGATAGTTTCTATGAACTTATTTCTATGAATTTTTTAGCAATGTTGTATGAACTTATTTGTTAGCAATGTTGTATGAACTTATTTATACATATTTTTTTATCAATAGTTTCTATGAATTACTACTTTTGTTAGCAAACAGGAATTTATCCTTAATTCATAATAAATAAAGGAGCTGTAGGTTTTAGTTAGTGGCTACAATGAAATGATAAAAGTTTAATGATATAATTGACACAATTTCTTTCATTATATTTGTGAGTTCTATCAGAGACAGGAAACAAACATAGATTGTTTAGAAGAGTTCATGCACAGGCATGAAATATAATCTAATGTTGCTAGACTCAGCATGTAAAACATTCCTCTCATTACACAAGTCTCATATATCATGGCTTTTTCTTTTATCAAGTGAACTTTTATATTATGTGGTTAAAACTTAAGAAAAGGGGAAAAATGATGGTAGGAGATAATACTCACAGGTCGGAGCAGCTTCCAAGTCTCTGTAAATGATATAATTAAGCCATCGTCCCTCCAATTTAGATGAATTTACTTTGCTACACTCAGACTGCAAATAATAGTTAGAATATGTATAAAGAGTAAGTTATGTGTAACTTACGATTAAAAATGAATTTCTTTTTTCCGGCAGCTTAGTAACTAAAAATGAAGTAAATGTTTGGTGAACATAAACCCCACATCGATTTATGAATAAGTTTTGAAAAGGTATATAACTAACTGAAACAAACAAATAATAGTAACATAAGTAGATTGTAATAAAGCTGAAAAGGTATCTTGTACTAATTAGTTTTGCTTTGTCTGAATTTGTTGTTACAGTGCTCGATGCGTTGTGCTTCATTCGCGTTGTTTCTTTAAATTGTTTCAGACACTTAACATCAGAGTCTTCACCTCTTTTTATCAACCAATTGCTTGTGAGAATACAAACTGTGATGAAGATCTTCCTCAATCCTAAGCTGTGAAGTGCCTTCAATAAGAGGTAAATGATCAATTTAATCCTAAGTTGTATAATTAGAACTGCTGGAATAAAGTCCGGGTAGGAGGTAGTTGTTGATGTAGTCATTATTCACCGTCACGACAATTGCTATAGGAAAACGACGAATCCAACTGACGAGAATCAATTCCTAGCCAAATCTATAGCAATTGTCGTGACGGTGAAGAGTTGAGTTGGATGACAATATTCACAGGTGCACAAATGCTTTCAATGTATAGTAAAGACTTTAAGTTTCTGCTTAATTAGTAAGTGTTTTAAAAATCTTTGGGAAGATTAAAAGTACCAAGTAGATGAGGGGAAACAACATGTTACCCAAGAGATGAATTTCCTTGAAATTTTTTGAAATCATGATTGACCAAAAGACATGTCCCTTGTTCTGTCGTTGCTTCAGCTTATAGGCATTAAAATGATTATATGATTTTATAGAAGACTGATATTTTCTAGTATAAACTATCCCCTCATTATTATGCTATAGATTTAGAAACTTAAAAACATGCCTTTTCAAACTCTGAAGAGTTGAAACAGGTATTTTAGATATACTTTAAGATAATTATTAAGAGTGCAATGAGCAACCCCGTTTAAAAAAAAATTGGCTTAATATAACCTAGATCTACATATGTCCTAACTTTTGGCTTATTTATTCTCAAATTAAATAAAGATGTGATATCAAATTAAATAAAGATGTGATGTAAACACAGCAGTATCCAAACACAGTTTCTTCATATTCTGTGAGTAAATGTATGTTTTTCATATTCTGTGTTTATGTTTTCAAGAATGTTGCAAGAAGGAAAAACCACTTTGACACAGTTTCTTCATTTAATTTGCTAAGCAATATCCAAACACAGCAGTGACAGATGAAGTACACCTGATTGTATGGTTCTTCGGTTTTTTGCCTCTCTAATTTCATGAGCCTTGTTTGTTTTTACAGTTCATTTTCATTCGTCCAATTTATCAATTTATGATGGGTATGTTGCAGGTTGTGGTTTACGAATCGGTATCGAATTGTTGTTGTTTCCACTGTTTTGCAACTTGCACACTAAGTGTTCGGTAAATTGCCTCAACCAAGTTTCTTTTCCTTTTTCGTTTCTGTTTCTTGCTAATCATGTGTTCGATAAATTACTAAGAATTTATATGCCTTTCAAATGAATTTACTATAATGCCATCCGCATTCTTGAGGCCTTCCGCATTCTTGAATCAGAATCAGAATCAGAACACACTTTCTTTCCTCCATTGAACTTAGCCATCATTGAACTAAGGGTGAAAAACTGAAGAAGCACATTACAAACATAGCTAGTTGATGAACCAAGCCAATTCGAGGAGCATGAGTTCGTTGACCTTGTTCATCATTCCTGGTTCAAGCTCCAAAAGAGAAAAGATACGACTTTAGAGTAAAACATGAGAGAGACATTGTCGACATAGGTTGGAATCAATCGTTTGAGACGCTGCTGCTGTTAATGTTAGTGTCAATGCCTCACCATTCAGTGTCGTGGAATCTATACACAGTTCGATTGAGTTCCTGTACAACTGCTAGTGTTTTGGTCAAAGTTATATGCTACCATCCACTTCCAAACTATTAATGCAATCCTGTCATCTCTCCTCCTTCGCCTAAGGAGGCGATGAATCCAACCATATTCTAAGTAGCGATTCAGCTCTGTTTCGTAGCAACAACATTCAAACAGCAGCACCAAGGAGTTTAGCGACTCACATCAACAATAATAATTTGGTTGGTTTCCCGTTTTGGTTATACGATTGTGATGTTGTTTGTTTATTATTTGGGGTAATATTGATGTCTTTTGCAAAACTTTGTTTAGTTTTTATCTTCAATTCAGTTATGATTCTGGTGCATTCTATTTCGAGTGCTGCTTTTTGTTTACCATCGAAGTTCTGTTATGTTAAAGTTTCAAATTTGCAACATGTAGTCAATGTTAAACTTTTGCATGAACTGTGGCTGCTTTGGCTATCCATGTTTTAACTTTTGGTGATCATGTTTTGGATTTTATTGAGGTGAATGATTTAAGGATTAAATGTGTCGCTATGATTGATTTTCTATTCCAGAATCTTGCTGTCATGTCTATTTGCTTCACTTGTATGTGCATCGTAGCCATGTCGATTTTGACATCGTAACGACGATTGCCAATTCTTGATTTGGTTTCCGTTGCTCTTCCTAATTTATATATGCATCTTATACGCTGCTGCTGAGTTCTGTTCCTTCGTGTTAATGTATATTACGATGTCAGCATCCAAATTTCATTGTTTATCACCTCAAGGCATACTGTAACAGCGGCTTTGTCTTAAATGTGTGTGTTTTTTATTCGGTGCCAATAGTGACAACAAAGTGAACTCTATGTTGGAGAGGGGACTCAATGTAGGAAGGAAGATGATAGTTTTTGGTTTTGTAGCAACTTTTGTTCCTCTTGTTGTTCCTGGTTTTCTAGTTGCTTCTGCTATTGGTCTTGTGGTTTTTGTGCCATGTTGTTTTTTCTTGGTTAGCCATAGGTGCACTCAGAGTTTAATGAGTAAGTTGCTTCCTAAGCCTATGCTTTCTCCTCAAGATGTGTGAACGGGAAACAAACCCTGAATTTAATTAGGATTAATTAGTGTAGAGAATTAGTTAGTATAATCTATCATTTATATATATAGGTATCTGAGACACATAATCATTCGATCACTTTTGTTTTTTTTCCTAAATTATCATTACTACTATCATGGCTTTGTTAACTGGTATTGGATAATGAAATTGAGGTGAGATTGATATGTTGGTAAAATGAATGGTGGCTATTTAGTGTTCACTGTTGATTTCAATAATCCTTTTACCATAAGTATAAATCAAGCCTCATAACTGATATGGATTCTTCTCTACAGTACTTCACCAATTCTATATCTACATTTTTGCTTCCTGTGGATGGTGCACATGCTGCTGCTTGTGAAGAAATGGCTACAGCAATGTCCAGTGCAGAGGCTGCTGCTTACAAAAATCCTTATACGTTTGACAGGGACTAATTCATGAGTTTCGTATACCCGAGAGAGAAAACCCTGCATCAATGGAATTTCAATCTTCATGGAGATTTGGAAACGGCATGTTTGCTTTGATTCTGTCCTTTGGATTTCTGTTTACAGCACTGAGAAGCCGGAAAGCAAGGTCTTGGCGATATGGATCCGGTGGGACTTTTGTGAAATTTTAGAGGGGTTCAAAATAACTGAATTTAGATTCTTCTTATTGCAGGATGTTTACGGGGTCTCGTAGCAAATTACGGTGTCGCGATGATGGTTCCATGGTGCATATGAAAACTGGACTGTGATAAAGGGAATGCTGAATGTGCCAGTTCTCTATATTATTGGAGCAATTATTCCAGCAACAATGATTGATGTGCTTTACTATTTTGACCATAGTATAGCATCTCAGCTTTCTCAGCAGAAAGAGTTTAATTTAAGAAAGCCACCTTCATTCCATTATGATTTACTTCTTTTGGGATTTATGGTGCATGATATTTCCTTGCCTTATTGGATTCTTTAGTTTATGAAAAATTCTCTTGGTTATTTGATATATTTTTGAACTGAATTTGATCCCTAATTTTTAAATGTATGATATGTTGAATGTATGGCAGGTTATATTATGTGGTCTAATTGGGATTCCACCGTCAAATGGTGTTATTCCACAATCTCCAATGCATACCAAAAGTTTAGCTACATTGAAGCACCAGGTATACATATTAAAGTGATTTTAGGTTTTCTTGTTTTATAGCTTAAAATCCGTTTATGTTAGATTTGCTATATAGTTGGTCTCAAACGTGGTTAAAAGGAGACGGTTCCCTTATATAGTTAATAGCCAACATTAGTTTTTGTCGTCGAATTATTATATCATAGATCAAATACATAATAATGAGAATTTCTAAGTTGTTGCCCGTGGTGTATAGCTCGAGAAAAGTGTCAAATAAATAAGGATTT